AAAATATCATCCATGATTGGACAATGCACATGTTTCCAAATAAATAACTAAATTGTGCAGGTGCGGACAAATACTCCCAGACTAACTTGGACATGTCGAGAGATGTCATTGTTCTTGGTCCGCGAGTGTGAGGAGCCTGGAACAGTATCGTTAACCCAAATCAAGTATCAAAAACGCCGCATACAAACTACGATGTTATGTATTTTTATTGCTATAATTTATACTACTATATAATATGAGACAAATCAAATGTTGCCGAAAAATACCAATTGAAGTTGAAAGTTATTCACAGAATGGCGATTAGCTGCAAACTACTGTAAGATTATTATTATTGCTGTATAGATTAAAGATAAAGGACAGATCTCAGTATACGTCGCAGTTTATACGATGAATTGAATGGTTTGCATGATAGGACACAAATTCTGCCAAATGGGCAATGCGGAAAACTTTTAACAGAACATAATAACAAGTTCATGGATTTATTAATTCGATGTGACTTTACGGCAACACACATTTTCGATATTGGCATTGTACCTGCCCGGTCATGAGGGATAGGCTACAGCGTCCTAGACGAATTTATTTCTTCTAACCGTTTTAGACCTCAAAGATCGATCCGTCGCATTTCATCGATCTAATTAAACTTTTCTGAGTTAAATACAATGATATTGTGCAATATATTAGTCGCTATAAAAATTCCGCGAGCAACATTGAACGTGTTTCCGATTATCACAAAGGTAAACAATAGAGCTATTTATAGCCATAATTTATGAATCTTGCACTCCTTCATATTCCTTTTTGCCGACAAGTTTTATTGCAAATAACATAACTTCAATTATTCTACTTTAACCCTAAAAATGTTTTAGACACCAAATAGGTTGCACTTTTGAGAATTTTTAGTTTGAATTTTGTACCTAATCATTAGTTGTTCGGCGAACGAAAATACCGACTTCCTTGGATGGAGAGTAGTAGGCTTAAAATAAGATGTACATTCGAATTCTTTCAACATTCTAAAAGAAGAAGAATATGTCTCAATACTCTGAAAAAAGTTTTAAATTTGACGCGAAACTTTCCGAGTTATGATGCACAATTTAACACATATTTGACGGCCGTTTTCGGGGTCAAATTTCAGTGTCGCTGACGTCCAGACAAAAATTCGTCATAACTCAAAAAAAAAGAAAAATTTAGAAATTCTAATCTTAGTTTAATACCTTTAAGGACAAAGGTAGTTCATGGTAAAAATATAAAGGAAATCTAATTTTCAACTTGAAACGCTCTGCATGGTTCTTAGTGAGACAGCCACTTAAGCTGTTGTGCACGCATGTAAACAAGCACGCCAGATTTCACACCTTATAAAAATGTCAAATACTACCAACAACATATTTATATCTTTCATATAGCCCTAAATATTCCTTTATATAAATACATATACTTCAAATTTGCGTAATAATATTTTTTTCTCGCACTTCACCCAAAGAAATTAAAATTGAAATTTCCAGGGCTCATAAATGCAATATATTCACACGCATTGAAAGGAATGAAAACTCGAAAATCTCACTTAGATTGTATAGTGTTAGTCTATATTGCATAACTCAAATTTTCCAAGCTTTCTAAACCAGAAGTACCTCAGAATCGTTATAGCTTGTAGCATGAGATAATTTGATTCTTATTTCGATGCAACAATTAACGAACCTAATGGCCAGTAACCAAACATGTTATATTTATATTATTGAATTATTAGTAAACTGCTTGTGTTTCGATTGACATTTTTATGTTGTGCATGGTGGGAAACCACAGATCCACAGGCACTATTTCGCACGCACGAGTGGAGCAGCAAATAATTTTGCGCTGATTTTTCTTTCAAACTTCGTAGATTTCGAACTTTTTCCGATAAAACATGCCCGGAAGGCCGGAATATCAGCCTTGCCTTTGGTTTTCGATTCGCCCCTCCAGAAATATGGCCCTAGCTACGCCACTGCGTGTGATGCTGCGCGCTGTATAGATATACCAATATCTAGCGCAAGGAACACTAATAAATGACATATGTACTATTTAAAAAACCAGCAGGAGTGTTTTATTAAATTTAAAGCCACGAGCGCGCAGCGCAAGTGGCTTTAGACATAATAAAACACGACCTGCGACTTTTTTAAATGGCTTCAAAAACGTTTGCATAATAAGTCAAATCTTTATATAAAAATCTTTATATAAAAATCTTTATATAAAAATCTTTATATAAAAGTCTTTATAAAGTTTGCATAACAATGGTCTTTTGTTTCAGTGTTCTTTAGCTGGTATAAAGACGTATGCACGTGACTAATTTCTTACTCAAGATTGGATAATTGCTTCATGAATTATTAATGAGTTTTTGAAGTACTATTTAAAGCACGCGTAGGAGTGTTTTATCACATAAAATATGTGATAAAACACGACTACAAGTGCTTTAAATAGCTTAAAAAACGACTCCTCTTATACGAGTTCATTGGCGAAGTAATTTTTAAAATAGACTTTGTCTAAACCGAGAAAGTCAAAGCTAAAGTTTATGTAAATTAACGTGACTTTTTATCACATATAAAACCACGACACTCTTATGATTTTTCTTTGTGTTTTGCTCCTGAATTATTAATGAGTTTTTCATTCTATTTCAAAAACTCATTAATAATTCATGAAGCAATTATCCAATCCATGGCCAGAAATTCAGGACAACATGGCGATTTGCATACGCAATGTACTTCCTCATTCATTATTCAAGACGGCCGATTTATATAGATTAAGTATTGCAAATATATGTTTTAGCAATTTCCAACGTTTTTCGTACATAAAACCGAGCTCTGCACGTCGAAAACATCATTTAAATACTCGATCCTGTAACCGAATAAATTTCAAAACAGTTCAAGTAGGGCAAACCAGTTCCCGAGAATTATATTTCTACCTTATCTCATCACATATAACAGATAGTTAATTCTCCCGAAATTCGCAAACTGCACATTTTTGAGGAGCATTTTAGGACATTCGTGGGCAGTACATAAAGCTTCTGCACGTCTGCATCGATAAAAGTTGAGTTTATCTTTGTTCTCCAACAGTTTAAAAACTCGTAGAGGATGGAGAAACAGGTTCCAAAAAGCCACCAAATATATGCTTTTTAGCAAACAGAAAATGTGTACATTGAGCGTTGCAAGCACCACAAATCACTCGAAATATTGAAAAAACCCAGCAAATTTGTAAATGTTGATCCGCCATTTTGCTTTAACATTGTTGCTAGGCAACCTATATGACTGACAAGGTGTATTTGTGGGCTCAGTGAGGTTGATTTCGCAATAAAATAGCTCAGATTTCGCGGGAAAATTTGTAAAATTTGGTAAAATTATTTGCACCTTTTCAATTTGGGCATCTTTAACATTTGGAAATCTATTTTAAACTTGTGTGGAAATCTATATTAAAATTAAAATTTATTTTTACTTGAACATACTGTACCTCAAGTAAGTATTTAAACGGCTCATTGTTGTATTGTGCTTATAAAATTTGCATACGGAATAAAATGTCGGATACATGCCCGACTGCATTCCAATCATTCTTAAAATGGAAACTCGGTGTTCAAAGTCCATCATTAGCATACGCAGCCAAAGACATGGCCAGAACTGTCCTTTTTGCAGTAAACATACCTTATCCACTGTTAAAAGCTCGGCATGGCATCTTAGTAAAGTCGGGAACCACCTTTTCTGAATTGAGTAGAGACAACAATATCGACAACAACAGTATAAACATCGAACAGTGCTCGTTTGTTGATTTATTCGAGTATGCAATACCTGGCAATTCAGTTGCAATTAGTCCAGAAGGTCTAGAATAAACAAGGGAATTTCTACACTTGCTGGAAGAGTCTCTGGAGAATATGCAAAGCTTAAGGGAAGAAAGCGACAAGAATTAGATTCCAAGAGCAAGTTATTTCATATTTACACTGGAGAAACGGTCTCTGTTGCAGATATTAAGAAGGAAAATAGCAATATGAGAGATGAATTGCAGGAGTGGAAAAAGACCTGTAAAGATCTAGAAAATGATATTCATACTCTTTATGAGGAGATTGAAATAACAATGCAAGAAAAGGTTAAAGAAATCTCAAATCTCTACTCCATAAATGAAGAACTTAAGAGTTATATTGATTCCTTGAAAACATCCCAAAATTCCTTATATAATGGAAAACATGTTTCAGAAGTAAAAAAAAAATCAAGAACCTTGAAAACATTTCTTTCTCGTGCACAGACTGCCTTGTGGTTCTCCAGATCATTTGGCTTGGAGATAGAAAGCATTAAAGTGAGTGAAACCGAGACTGGCATTAACCACAATATAAAGGTTGAGAAGTGCAAAGACACAATCTGTCCCACAATTGCCATGGATTTGATGCTCTCTCAGATGACGAGAAGTCTAAAGCAGAGAAGATATTGTTTCTGCTCGATAAATTTTGTGTTGGAGACTACTTTTACCATGAATTGACTATGATGTGTGATGATTTACCCAGATCATATTTAGTAAAGCAGAAGAGAGATCAGTTGAACAAACTTTGTCATATCACTTCTACTCCAGGTGAAGAAGAAGGTGCCCAAGTATCATTCAAAGATTTGTTGACACAGAGGATCAGGGAACATGTTACATACAACACATCCTACTGTAATGAGCAACAATGAGCCTGTTCAAGTCAAAATTTCTGGGGATGGGGCTCGCATGACCAGAAATTCAAATTTTATTTTACTAAGTTTTGCTTTGTTACAAGATACCGATGATGTAATGGCTGCCAAAGGAAATCATACCATAGGAGTTGTTAATGGCAAAGAGGATTATGAATCATTGGAAAGATGCTTTAAAGATATATTTACAGATATCAATGAACTAGTCTTAGATAAGAAAATAGATGTGGACGGGCAAACAATCAATTTGGAATTCTTTTTAGGGGGGGATTACAAATTTATTCTTCTCCTTCTGGGACTTAGTGGTGCTACATCAAACTATGCGTGCTCTTGGTGCAAGGTACACAAGGATGAAAGATGGAATATGAAGTACGACCTTGAATACTACAGCTCTTCAAAGTTGAAAAGAACTTTGGAAGATCTTAAAAAGTCAGCAACCAAGAGTTCGAAAGAAAGTTATTGCTCTGTGAGAAAACCACTACTGAATATAGAACTGGACCATGTGATTCCAGATGAATTACACTTACTTTTAAGAATTATGGATGTATTGATTAACAATTTGGTAAAGGATGCTATCAACTGGGATGTTAGTGATAATTGGAAGAGAAAGAAAAGCGAACACACAAATACCCACTTAACGGAGCTCAAAGATGCAATACGATCTTGTGGCATCTCCTTTGATGTATGGGAGAAAAAAAATGCTGATGGCAAAGGTTCAGGGCAGTATGACTTTACAAGTCTCATGGGCGCAGATAAAAAAAAGTTGTTAAAAGAGCTTCCCAGTAAATTTAGTGGAATAATTCGGCCTGAAACTTGCAACACTGTTGAAGAAGTTTGGCAAAAATTTTATATTATTTATGCAATAATTACATGCAAAAAAACCTACAGCTGAAATGATGACTGACTACCATGGTAAGACAAAAGAATGGATTAATCTCTTCATTTCCCTGAGGGACAAAATGAATGGTTACAAGAAGTCCAACATAACACCTTATATGCATATAATGGTGTACCATATTCCCAAATTTTTTGAACTTTATAAAACCGTAAAAGTCTTCACAGGACAGGGCGTAGAAAGGAACAATGATGTGACCAGAAATATAGTGTTGCACAAGTCCAACAAATTCGATAGTACTGGTGATATCCTTAGACTTGAGTCAAGATAATGGGAACTTAAAAACCAAGAGCGTTCAAAGCGCACATATGAAAAGAGAAATGATCATTACTGGGAACATGAACTGCATTTGGCAAGGAAAGATAAAAGCCGAAAACTTAATTGATTATCATTGTACTGTATTGTGAGTGCTATGCAGTCAAAATTGTCACACTGTACTATTTCAAAATTGTTTATTACTAGTTTGACATGATGAGCACACAGTGTGAACACTGAATAAACTATTTGGAAGAAACTCAACTAACTAATATAAAAAATTTGTGTGGGAGCAACAAGCTTTTCCATCTAGATATAAAGACAAGGGAGACTTACTGTCGTTCCAATTGAAGTGTTCCTCAAATATTGATTCAATACATTACCTCAGGCTGACCAATTCATTTGGTAGAAAATTGATCAACTTCCTGTTGCTTTTAAATGAGCCAATTAGAATTCGTTTCAGAACCGATCGACCAATAGGAAACGCACAGGAAGTAAAAAGAAATTTGAATTCGTAGGAATTGATCAACGTGAGGAAATGAATTCATGCAATATTTTATCAACACTTCAATTGGAACGACAGTAAACATACATTACAAGTTAAAGTTGACTATGTATTCCAAAATTTGTTCAGAATAC